TAAAGGAAATAATCGTTCAAAAAATTGGTCTATTCAACAAAGATTAGCTGTTCGTGATACGAAAATATTAGAAGCATGCTGTATTCAACTTATATGTCAAGATGATATTAATCCATTAAGAGCAACACATGTAGAAGATATTGCAAATAAAATAAGTAATGCATTTAAAAATACACAATTAAGTGTACAAATATCGAAAGACTTAACAATTAATGAGCAACCAATTTTTTTTCAACGACGAGAACCATTTGTAATACCGAATTCATTTTTTGAACAACATACTAATCATAAATTTATGAAACGTATGGCTAATAATGAAGATCCTATAGAATATCGTGATCGAGTTAAACAATATTTGATGGAATTAAGTTCTGAAAAAATACAAGATTTATTAGGTTCTATTGATCCATCTGATACTCAACTCAATCCTCTTTTTATTTTACTTTTGGAAGTCAAGAAAGAGAAGAAAAACTCCTGTACTATATCATAGAAACGTGTCCATTCTATGTATTATTCTGGAAAAACCGAGTTTATTTATATTTCAATCTATTTTATTTTATTTTCCTATAGCACAAGAGAAGAAATTGTTAAGACAATAACTCATGTCGATCTGTAATAATCATATTTCAGTTTGTATTTTTTATTCAATGAAAGAGAAATTGCTCATTTAAGATTAGATGTTTTTGTTTCCTATATTTTGTTTTGAAACGAATGAATCATTATGATAGTAATTAATCATATGGTATATTGGGAAAGATAATCAGTCAGATTATCATTGTTTTATTAATGTTCAGTTGTTGTAAAAACCATGTCAAATTTTCTTTTGAATACTTTTCTTTTCTTTTGTTCAAATATTGTCAAATTTTGTTGTAAAGATTTCTTTCGACTATGAAATGTTTGAGATGTAATTGGGTTTTTCCGTCAGTATTATTATGATCATAATAAAGAGGAGTATTTCGTCATTGAATGAAACTAAGTATGGGGTATGGATTTTTTCTAAACCCTCACCTACACCCTAACACAGTATCCTTTATTCTATTCCAATTAATCTATAGCCACTGTACAGCAAGTATCGGTACAACGATAAAATGCATATTAGCGTGTTAGGAGAAAAGCTTTTCAACTGAAACGTCTGTTTAAAATCTGTATCAAGCAATCTTTTTGAATATTTGTTTAGAAATTGTTTAGTATTTCTCGTTTGAAAGCGACAGACGTGTTTTACATAGCACTGGATCATGAGTATTTGCAAGAAGAAATAGACAATTTTTAGGGTGCAACTTATTACTACTTTAACTGCAACAGAAAATAAGTGGTCCTTATATGAAGTTATAGAACGAACAGTTCCTTAGAAAAAGTCATGTACTGTTCCATCTTGTGCAATTTTTGAATTTAAAAGTTATAAAAATTTTACAAATTTCTTTTGTTAAAAATTCGATTTTTCCTCTTTTTGCATTTTGTATGAGATGCAATTTTTATTAGAATCATCTTACATTTTGACAGAAATACTCTACACGAGACTGAAACCGAATCGAACTGTCGATATGATTTAATCCGCCTAAGCCGAATTAATTTGAATTCAAATGTAGATGCTATCGAATCGAATCGTATGGAAATTTTCACACTCTTTTCGGTCTCTGTACTCTACATAGCCACGAAGCGTGGGGGATTTATAGACATTTGTTTAAACTATAATTCGAACGTGCCGATGAAAACTTTTTAAAGAGTTTGTTCGAGCGTAACACATTGCTCAAATAGTAGAGTTTTTTTTGTAAAATATCATTTTTAGCAATCTAAAAAAAATCTACAATGTCTGAAGAGAAATCTTGCATAATATGTAGAAGCAGATTTTAAAAAGCAGCATCATGAATATTTTATAACATGCGTTTCGACTCGAAAAAATTGTTTCCAGAATTCAGTAATATGCGTTTTAATTTTGCGCTAAGATTTATTGTATATAGCTTATTTATTATTTTAAAAGACATATCATGATATACACGTATTTCGAGATGCTCATATGAAAGAAAAGGATGTGGGTGTGGACGTGGATGAAGGAAGCAATGCACCAGTTCACGCATACCTACACTCTTTACATGGATCCTATCGAATTCATTTGAGTGGTTTCAGTTTTGATTTGAATGTCATGAATACGGTCCAAAGAACTTTGGTACGTTATGATGTACCGATCTATTTCTAAAGCTGGCGATCATTATGTTTGTAACTCACATAGGTTGAGCAACTAATTAATATTTTATTGGGCGTAGAATCATAGGTCACATTCACAGCCTCTTGACGCAAAGACAGAATAAAGATATAGCATCATTCAGTTGAAGCAGAAAAATATACGAATAGTTGACAGTATACAAACATTTCCATGTATCCGTCTAACAAAATTATTATAGAAAACATCGTAAGACTCATTTTTATTTATGTTTCGTTTGCTAAATTCATCGTTTCACCAAAATCAAAAGAAGTTTCATTCTTGAATAGAAGTGAATTTAAAAATTAAAAATATACTTCTTGACATTATCGACAAAAAACATCAAGGCATGAACCGAATTGTCTTTTTCTTTAGTTGATTTTCTAGTTCTGAAAATACCGAAAAGGCATACTCTAAATATGCTAATGAAGATACTAGATCTAATTGCACTTGAACATATGTATGTATATCAATACTTTGCGATGAAAATTTTGTCACAGCAATGTCGATCAAGTTATCCGCAAAGATATGCATCCTTCAATAAAGTCAGCACCGACTCGTTCTAAAATGAATCCATCATCATTGATACTGTTTACTTATGAAATTTGTAACGTTCAACAAGGTATATACGATTATTTTATCGACTAACAATAAGTGACAGTCATTATGAACATATTCATTCTCTAAATCGCTCAAATATTAAACGTGCCTGCACCACAAACAAGTCTTCTGCAATTTTTAATTCATTTCGCCAAAGATTCTGTATATCATATAAAAAAGTTTTCAAAAAAATGTTTCAGACTTGTTTGTTATTTCACACTGAAAGTCGCGTCAATCAGAATCTGAATGGAATACTCATCATTCAATTGTTTCCATTCAGACTTTGAATTCATAATCAAACCATATTTCAAATCAACATTCACAATTTTTTCTCCTGTTGATTCTCCTTAAGTAGTTCTTGTACACAACCACGAACTTCGACTCAAATTGGATTGTCCAAGAGATCTAGTTTCGTGAGTGTCTGTGTGAAAAAATGTAGATGGGAATATGAGAGAGGCGAAAAGACAATGAGGGTGTTAGGTAGTGGTATATATATTCTTCGCTCCACTACCTTTGGTGTTCTCTTTCTTTCCTGTACTTATATGTTACATGTTGTTCTTGCCCTTGAGATACTTCTTTCGGGATGTGGGTATGAGTTGGCATGTTGGAGAGTAGACCCACAGCCACACTCTGTCAGTGAAACTGACCTATGTAACTGGTTGCTTGACGAGTCACAAGTAAAAGTACGAGCGCTATTCGAAGGAGCTGATTCAGATCAGGCAAAATATGGCTCACAGAGTTCACTTTATCTCATTATATTTGATGAGATAGACACCATATGTAAACGAAGATCAACAGAAAGTTCTACACGTAACTGTGTTCATGATAGCATAACTACTTAAATTTTAGCAGAGATAGGCGGCATGAAATACTTGGATAATATTCTTATTATTGACACAACAAACGTAATAGAAGCCATCGATCCGGCTCTCTAACGTCAAGGACGACTTAACACATTAATCGAAGCTGGAGTACCGAATGTAGTAGATCGTGCAGATATTTTTAATATTTGCACAAAAACATTATTAAAAAGCTATTTAACGTCCGATGACGTAAAACTTCAGATTAAGAATATTGATCTTACTGTCGCCTTAACACAACTGCAAATGAAAACCGAAAACCATGCTGCATTCTAATGTTTTTTTTCTGTTTCAATATGAACACTACCGAAACATAGGATTTCTGCTTAAACAAGAATGCTTACTGTATTCGGCTCAACATAAACACGAAAAAAGAAGGTACATTTTTATTCATACTCTTGTACTAGCATTAAGATACTTTCATATCCAAGAGAACACAGAGCAAATTAAAAAACAGAAAAAGAAAAGAATAAGAAAAGAAACATGACACATTGCGCAGCGCATCTGATTGGGAATAGCTTAGAGTGCCTTGGAGTGGATTAGAGCCTATTTTACTAATACTTGTTGACCATTGAGCTTTAATCTGAATCGCTGAGTGGTGGAAGGGGCCGAGTGCAGAAGTTCGATTCAAAATTTAGATTCACTATTTTTATTCGACAAATAGATGGAAGTTCGAAAGAAAAAGAACGCATCGATGATATATTCACCAACATAGTCTTTGTTTACACACGATAGAATGCAGCCTTTACTAATCTTAATTTTAATTGTTCTAAACGAGATGACGATGAAAAAAGAAATTTCAGTGAATTGATTTTGCATAATTAAGGATCACTGATTGTTTAGAACTTGTTTTATCAAAAACTGGTTGCATCGATTCATAGAACATTCTTTGTAATGCGATTATCAGGATTTGAATTGATTTGTGAAATAAACCAAATCGAATATTCTCTCATTCGATTGATACTTTTATTAATTTTAGATATCTGTAGTTAGTACACATGGTTTATCTTATTCAGACTATTCTATGTCATAATTTGTTTTTCAGAACAATCATAAGTTTACCAAAAGCATCTGTACACAGTACATGTGTAAGATGTCAAAGGTAATCACCGACAAAAACAATTCTTGAAGTATAATTTTGTCCTCTTTATTATAAAGCATTGCAAGAAGAGTACGAGCAATTCTTCTTAATCGAGATTGTTAAATCTTATCTAACCTAAGATATGTTGTAGGGACAAGAGTTGTATGAATTTTGACTCAAGTTGTTCTCAGGACTACGGAACCATCGATTCTTAATCAAGTGATTCTTTTCATTTTTTCTCCAAAGTCAGAATGTATTTTGTTTAAATAAATTGACCACAAAGAATCAATATAATACGCATAAATAAAGTGAAATACGTGTTATAAAATGGTTTGGCTAATGATGGTAAGGCATTGCCAGCTGTTCCATTGAAGTATTCCTGTAATTTTGGCCAGATGTAATCCGCAACACGATTACCTAACGTAAGACCCTCAATATTGTCCGTCTGAATGTGGTAACCACCCATTATACGGGAAATACCAGCCATCTGAGCAAAATCATTGAAGGTTTGAAAAGTGAGAGTGATGTCACACGACAAGTTCGTATCTGAGGGTATCTTGCCGTCGTACATCTGTATCGTCTTGCAATCGAAGTTGGGCTCCGTGAGAGCACCTGCTTTACGTGTCTCTGTTCCGCCGAAGTAATCACTACCAGTAAATAATTCTAAAATTTTGGAACATGCGGCACTAACAGTACTGTGCCCCGACACATATCCAGGAAACGGAGGCGTGATGAACGTCAGCGGTGAATATGGATGCCAGTCCTCGGCTCTTACGGTAGCAACACCTCTTCCGGGACCAAGCCAGCCCTTTACTTGATTGCCCGCATAATAGTGTCGTACGAGCGTCCAAGGCCGAGAGGAATCGTAGACACGTTTTGAATCCCAAGCTGCAATAAATGCATCGAATGCCGTCACCCCCACCGAGAAGAATAGCTTGACATCTCGATCCAGATCATTTTTGTCCCGTCTTGATACCATTTGGGCTAAACGAAGCCAGTGTCCAGCTTGTCCCGTGGAGTTTGGACCGTCTCGCATGTACTCGACAATCGCTTTTTGTGTTGTCGTGAGATTTGCATTGTACGAGATGACCTCATCCGTTTCAATGCGAAGCTGCGATGAGTTAATTTTTGGTGGCGGTCCTGGACGGAACTGGTCGCTCTTTTGGAGAGCGAATGGCTTTACACGATACCAATGGGGTGTAATGAAGCCAAGTGTGATTTTACCTCCATTGGGATCATCGAATTCAATGGGTTGCCAATGATCCGGATCATTGATCTTGGCCACCGAATTTATCGGTTGGTAGAAGGTATAATCAGAATAAGGTGCGCCGTCAGAGCCCACCTCATCACCGAGCTGGTTGGCACCATCATGACTACGATACAGAATTATAGCAGCTGCCGCTGCATTACCCACTCCTTGAGGGGTCGTGAGATCAGTCGAATTATCGTTTGGATCAAAGCCTTGCTTGTGCATCTGATCCATCAGCCATTCTTTATCATCTGGTAAAAGGAACAGAATGACTCTGTAAACAGCATAGGCAATGGCCTTCTCTTTATTGATGAGAGTACGTTCAGTGATTGGTTGGCGCAACTGTTCACCAAGTCGGGAGCCTACGGCTTTTTCGTCGTAGGCCACCCACGCATCATACATTGCAGCTGTGGCGATTGCCAGTATACGTGAGCCGATTGTTGGCCGAGGACGGTTACGGACATGTTCGCGAGCAGTTGCATCGAGGGCGATGTCAAGCCAGATATACGCAGCAGATGAGAAGTAACTGTCTCGTTCGTTTGAAGCCTTTTCTTTCGATTTTCGCAACAAAGTACAGTTCTGTGACAAATTTTTAACATGAGTATGGTTTATTGGTGAGTCAAACGTGCTAAAAATAGAACGTAAGATAATTTACGTAGTTGATATTCTAATTCTCGTATGGCAACATTTAAACCTATGAAATCTGTTGAAATACGTCATTGTCTTTAAGCATATTCCTTGCGGATCAAATATGTACGCTAAATCTCGTCAATTATGGATCAGTGTCCCATAATCAGGTGTTCGTTTCTTAAAACTATTCTCTCACAAGCGTAACTGGTGGCTAAGGGGGAATCTATCTAGAAGACGGCAATATATATTTTTTAGGCTTATTTGAACGTATGGTGATAAAAATTGTTGAGTTGATCAACAATAGTGAAGTCTTAACAATAGGGAATTGTTTGATTTCTTGATTTTACCAAGTTTCATTGATATTATGATCCCTTGAGGTTTCAGACCACTCGAGCAATTTCTAAGCGTTTCAAATTATTACAGATGGTTTCAAACGATGTTTTGGAGGCAAAATGATGTTGACTGGTAAGAACAAGACGTCCAAGGGAGAAGCCGCTGTCGCTGGGTCCGTCCTCCTTCTCATCATCACCACTTCACTGAGATAAATGTAGAAAAAGATGACAATAAATTGCACAAATATGTTTAGTCAATCCAACATATGTGAAGTACATGATTTTGTTAGCCCCTTATAAATTCCAGGCTGGACATAAGTCTCGGCACATGTAGAAAGAGACTCTTATATTAGATTATAGGCATGTGAAGGTGAGTATAAACTCACATTGTCTTAATTCACACTCTCTTGCTGTATTCTTGTTAAGATCCTCCTCTGATTTAACTCCTATTCATGACTGAATCCTCGTATCAGGATCGACAACAGACCCTACCTAAAACTTGATAAAATTTTCACAGTATCTTATCTGTTATTCTTATGAGCATCATAGGTAAGATCGAGAAAGAATTCTGTTAAGATTCTGAATTGTTAATTTAGAAAAAAATCTTGACAAGAATTTGAACTGATCCATAAAATGATTCTGTTTCACTGTGATAAATCCTGCAGATAGAAATTATTAGGATTCGAGTTAGGCTCTTGGAAAAAACTTAACAAGATTATTGAGATCCAGAAGCCTGGTAAATCCTTTCAGAGCTTCTTAAAGAATGAATAGAATTGAGACTAGGGTAGTTTTCTTATAGTATGATAGTGCTTTTGGAGCGCTACACAAGGGTGTGGGTGTGAGTATGGCTACAGACAACACCCACACCCTTATTAGAGACCCATAAGCATAACGGCATCAGAAGAAATAGAAACATCCTAAAAATAGTTCTGCACGCTTTGCTTACTTTACAATAACGTCATAAAATGTCGACTAGTATATCTCTTCTTTAAAAAAGTGTTGAATCGACATTCTTTTATCAGCAGTTAGAAAATTTTCTTCTCTTGCGAACCATAGACGATTTGTTTTTATCATGCACTCACGAATGAAATCCGATCAAGGAAAGAAGAAACCGAGGAAGATAATTAACAGTGAATACTTCATATCATACTAAAAAAGTTTAAGCTCAAGTACGATATTGAATAGATTATCTGATAACCATAATCTTCTGTATTTCTCGTTTAAAAGTACAAGTATGCATGAATAATAAACATAATCAATCAAAATAAATCAGTTAGTCAGTTTCCGTAGAGTTTATAATTATAAAATGAGTTAGATTTTAGCTATTTCAATAAAAGTTTCAATAGTTAACTGTTTTATACTTTATCTACTTCTTTTCGTCAGATAGAAACAGAGTTTATCATTCATGCACATTTTAGAGAAATTTTTCTCGTTCTGCCTTTTCTTTCCATCTAGTACACGGAAAAAGCAAACACAAATATTATTAGTTACCTACCTGAACAGGTTACTTTACTTCTCACTTATATCAAGAATTAATACTAGATTCACTACATGCAATGCACATGCTTCTTGTACGTAAAACTGAAGATGTTCGATTAGCATAAGTTCTTTTCTGTGAAAAATCATTTAGAATAAGAGAAACACTAGAGAACTTATAACATTGTTAACACTTGTCAGTTTCTGTACAAAAATAATTTGATCATCGCTAAGTTAGTGTAAACATGATATATACGATTCGGGACCCTGAAAGATGCGCACGACAATTCTGAGAGCGCTGAATAACAGCGTAAAGTGAGAATGAAGGTGCGGGCGTGAGTGAGAGTAAGGGTAGTGATTTTGAAACGGTCTCCTCTGTTTCAGAACTCTCATCTGTCGTTCCGTGCGCAAGTTTCGTCTTGAGAATCTTTCGTAGATCTGTACAGAAAAATTCACAATGGTCCTCGGCATAGGTGTAGCTTAACCAATTTTGAAATCGGCTCAGAACATACTAGAATTATGAGACTTCGTAGAGCATGAATGTTGCTTGTGGTTATACCATACTTTTAAACTTCTATACTGCAGAATTTGATTCAAATCAAGTTAAATTTTTCATTCGAGAGTGAAATGAACATTTGCCTATTATAGCAATTCCGATTGTAGTTTTCTAAATACTAGAAACTGGTTAGTTAAGTTGCGGTTAGCCTTTTCCTCACAAATGCCTGGGCTAGCCGTAGTATTTAAGACCTATTCATCAATCTACCTCATCCGTCACTTATATGACGTATGAAACATGAATATGAATAATTAATTTGTCTTCCTGCTGCTTAACTAATCGATTATATTCAAATTATAATTAAATTAATTTTAACCTGATATGTATTTATTGATATATTTGAAAGCAATGTTGAGATTTTCTCTCTCATCAGTTCGTTTCCCTTTATATGAAGAAACTTTTTAACTATTTATAAATTGCTGATCGTTAAGAGACGTTATAATGAAAATGATCTAAACTATTTAAACCGCGTCATTAGTCACCAAAAATGCGTTAAAGCAGTAAAACTTTCAACAACTTGAAGCGTTTGAGCGTGTTAAACGTTTTAGAAGTAAATTTTTCACAAACTGTTTTAACGCGTTTTTGGTGACTGATAACACTATTTAAATAGTTTACATATTAAGGTGTTTGAACGACGTTTTCGTCATTTTATTATCTATCTGGAAAGGTCTGTACACGACATTTTTGATACTTTCATTAATTTATCGAAGAAATTCTGTCAATAAACTCAAATAGTGATCGAAACAGTTATGGTTTTATTGGCAGAGTAATTATGTGAGAATAATTGATAAGCTGAAAATTTAAATTTATTAGTCTGCACAATCAGACAAAAAAATCAAAAAAGTTAGTAAAACTATAACAAGCTATGGTTCGAAGTGTTCGTCAGAACCCTCGCCACATATGGCGTGATGAACTATATTCAATAGTTAAATAAAGATTTTTGATTCTTCGTTTTTTTCCTTGTAAAAAGTGAAAGTTTTGTTCTTTGACTAATAGGTGGGAACTGTCGGTATGTGTGCTACCATCTTAGCATCATATTTGAGTTTATTTAAATGATTTCTTTGATAAATCAATGAAAGTATCAAAAATTCCATTGTACAGATCATTCTTCTTTCCTTCGTGGTATTTCGTTTATGAAATTACACAATAAAAACAAATCATGTATGGTTCGAAAGAGAAAAAGAATTCCTATCTAATGGGACAACATTATTTTTCTAGACTCGTATCTAAAAAGAAATAATAAGCGCCGACATTTGTTCCTCTACTTTTGCATCCTACATTATTTAATAATTCAGCTCAAGTATTCAGCTATTCAGCTGAAGTACTCAAGCATTCCGCTATTCAACTAAACGGATCAAGCGAAAACGCACACATACGCACATCTCTTACAATGCGAGTGCCGCGTAAGCACACACATCTTTCTCGATGCAGAATGCTTAAAAACTTGAATTGGGAAGTTGAATTGCAGAGTTCGACAATTGAATTCAACTTTCAAGCTTAACACTACTGAAAAAACCTAATCGGAGACATATGGATTGAACTTTCATTCGCTGTGAAATATTCTGTACTCTAAAATCTATTCTCTCTCATTTAACACACAAATCTGACTGAGCACGATTTGCCACACTTACCATGATGGAGCAGCATTACCGGCAACGTTAAATACCCAAGTCATACTTATCAGAACCATTGTCATCACCACCAGTGCTCGTTCGGTCGACATTATCCTACGACGACAAGTATAGCTGCTGTAAATATTTATACAATGAATGAAAAAAAGTCAATTAAAAGCACTGCTTGAGGTTCTGGTCGAATCTAATTATAGATTCGTCTAGGATTTTCTGCATGTCAACGGAAACAAAGTTGCTTCTGAGCTTATAATTAATTTAACTTAGTCAATGTGGCAATTTTAACCAATCAAAGTTTCCAGAAATACAATAAAAAGACATTGACATTTAAGGCTTGATTTTAGTCCATCCATAGTTTCGAATGCTATAGTGTTGACTCAATACAGAGTTTCAGGATGAATCTTCTGATAATAAAAGAAAATAATTTATAAGGGGTTGAGGGTGATCACTTATACTTCAGCTATTGCGGATACCCTTAAAAGTAACCAATCAAAGTTATGAGATATCCCTATTAATTCGAAAGAAGTTAATCGAACTGAAACTCATGAGAAAAGATAGTCGGCATTGTTTTCTCCTTCTCATATCAATTTTCAGCTCAAATAGTCAATCTTTCCACGTGTGAGGCCAAAAACACGATTCTTATCATGTTAACTCTATAAATGTCTACACGCTATCTGACTAACTGTGCCTTGAATATTTCAGCAAGGAAAAATGACCCTTTATTGTTTTTTTCTTTCGTTTTGTAGGCCTGGTAAAGAGCTATACATCCCACATTGTTGTTTAATTTTTAAACATCTGATCCCATGGAGATATTAAATGCGACATCTTTTTCATGCATGCAGCAAAAACCATGTAGCAAATCATCTCACGAGGGAACCTTTTCAGATGACACCCTCCGTTTTGATTTGTTCGTATCTCATTTAATCGAGTATATTGAGGTAGTAAAAAGCCTAAAGCGATTTTTGCCCAATGCTCTTCCTTCAAAAGTTATGGTCGTTTTATTGAATTTTCGACCCATTTCTAGGTATTTACGAAAAAATCAAAATAGGGAATTTCGACTTGATATTTCGCCCATAGATAGGCCTAATGATCCTTAGAATATGCTGAAA